CAAGCTCAGTCCAGGAATGAGCAACATCCCACATGCTGCCACTCCTTGTTCCAAAATTAGTCTTTGTCATAGACACTGATCTCAAAGGTGGCAAAAAATAGCTAGCTACTCCAGGGAATACCCGAGCTGTCCCGGCAAAGTCTCCCTGCTGGTTCTACAGCAGCTGCGAGCAAGCTCCTGCCTTCTTACTTCATTCATCAGCTTGTCCTTTCCTTCTAGCATCCTTTTCCAGCAAAAAGTAGAAATACAGTGGATTTAAAAGGTATAAGAAGAATAATAAGAATTAGAGAAATAAGATTGCTATCTGCTGCCAAAACTACCAAAAGAAGCGAGATTTCTTTTAACAGTGATTATTTTTAGATACACAGTAAGTTGATGGACGTTTCTGCAAGGTACTCGGGTATTTAGAGCAGCAAGAAAATGCCAAGAAAGTTCTCGGAGGGGACATAACAGGAAATTTTAGCTCCTAAACCCTTTCAGGGAGTGCGGCTGAATGGCCAGAGGTAAAGGTTTAGGACCTAGACAAAAGCAACCTACAATCCTTGAACCTATAGTAATGAGCTCTATGGCTGCAGGCAAGTAACTTTTCTGAGCTCAGTGTTCTCATCTACAGGATAGGGGCAGTAACTCCTTCCAGGTCAAGGGTCAAGGATGATGCCTTCTCTTGCTGCAAGCCCCATGGGAGCATGGGCCTTGAATATCTATTTACCACACTGTCCCCTAGCTCATAATAGAGCTGTGAGGTCCTCAGTAAACACCTTTGAATGAAGAAATGAGTGACAACAAATCAGTACATCTACGTCACCGAGTTATTGTGACGATTAGAGAAAGAGCAAATAGTAGGCGGCTTGATAAATGGTAGCAGCTGATATTATTAAACTGCCTGGCATATAGCGGAAGTTAAATAAATAAAAGGCACTATTAGACTACTGGCAAAACACCTTAAAGCAGGAAAAATATTTTATAGGTAAAATCAAAACAAGTTTCTGTCAAGTCGATTCCAACTCATGGCGACCCCATACATGTTAGAGCAGAACTGTGCTCCACAGGGCTTTCAATAGCTGGTTTTTCTGAAGCAGATCACCAGATCTTTCTTCCAAAGCACCTCTGTGTGGACTCGAACCTCCAACCTTTTGGTTAGTAGCCACCCAGGAACTCCAACAGTGGGTTAAAAAACTCTTTGGCTTGGAGTCAGTTCTGTCTCATAGCAACCCCAGAGGACAGAGTAGAACTACCCCACAGGGTTTCCGAGGCTGTAATCTTTACTGAAGCAGACTGCCATATCTTTCTCCTGTGGAGTGGCTTATGGGTTTGAACCACCACCCACCAACCTTTCGGTTAACAGCCGAGAGCTTAACCAGGGCTCCTCAACAGTGGATTAGGGCCTCCTAATAATGAGGCCAGAGGTTGCTTCACCATCTTTATCCAATTGCAACCTTGGCCATCTCAGAGAAGGAAGCCAGCAGGGTGCTGAAGGAAACTCTGAGTTAAGAACCTAGCCTGTTCGGTATAACTCCATTCCTGATTACCCGAAGACCCAAAATAACCCAGGGAAGATGAGCCAGCAATGTTGTCTTCATTTGCTTTATTTTAACATGGTCTCTCTGTTCTCCACTGATTTGGGACTGATTAAAGTACACTGATGTTAAGGTTTTCACATTCCCCAGCTTCACTTCCTTGAGACTCAGATCCCATTTTGAAGCTTACTCATTTCTTCCAGAACAGGATGAGGTTGCCTTAAAATCCCATTCATTTTATAGAACTCATTAAGCATACAGCAAATTAAGCGTAAACGACATTGTTTTCTAGTTAAATTTGCAAAGGAATGATCTGAACAAATTGCTCATATACCCGATTAATTTTTAGCGGAAATAATGAGGAGGTTGTAAATGGAAAAGCATGTGCCCACAGGACCAGCCTTTCAAGCGCAAAACAATTTATGCCAATCGATGGCTTTACAGATAAGGTAATCTTGGAAAAACTCCTTCAGCTATGGAAAGGCATCTAATGGAAAGCTACCCAACTCCATTGCAGTGGCATTGCCCTATAAATTTTAAGTGATCTGAATTCTACTTCACAACTATCTGTCATCTATCTATGTATCTATTTATATATAAATCAATACTGCAATATCGAGAATTGGCGACTATATGGGAAAATAGACACTGAGATTACATTAGTTTAAAAAGTCTTTCTGAAAGTGTATTTGGAAAGGAGTTCTTACGTGGTTCAAACAGTTAATGTGCTTGGCTGCTAACCAAAAGGTTGGAGGTTAAGTCTGCCCAGAGGCAACTTGGAAGAAAGGCCTGAGGATCTACTTCTGAAAAATCAGCCATTGAAAACCCTATGGAGCACAGTACTACTCTGACACACATGGGGTCGCCATGAATTAGAATCGACTCGATGGCAACTGGGTTAGTACTTGGAAAGAAAATACAAACCTTAAAAGTGTTCATTGCCTTTGATTCAACAATTCAACAATAAATTCAACAATTTATAAGAATTTACCCTAAACAACTAATCATTGATGAGTACAGATTGAGCTGAAGCATAGTTTTAAAAATCCATGGAGTATCCACATAACGTAATACTGTACAACCATGAAATATTCTGTAGATGATGTTTACTGATGTGGAAATACATTGATGCCAAGTTACGTTTTGTTAAAAGCTGGTCACAAGCAATGTGTCCAAAATAATTCTATTTTCTATATGCACACAGACTGGAGAGATAAACACAAGTCAGCAATGAGTATATTCCTGTGAGGCAGGATGATGGGTCCCTTACTTTGTTCTTTGTTTTCCTGTGTTGTGCAGTGACATACTGACAGATTGTTTTAGAAACATGGAAATAGTCAATATGACTGTTTCTTACCGTAGTGGATTTATTCCCTAAAGAATTATCAAATTATGTCATTCCCTGCTGCTTCTCAATCTTATCTTTAGGTTTGCTCTGCTTAGACACTCAGAGAGAAAACCAAGAATGAGTTGTAGATGGAAATGGATGTAGTCATTACTGGCTAATCACCTGTTCCAGCCGGCTTCACCAGTTTCAGCACTGTTAGGATCCATCTAGACCAACAAGACTGCTCTGCTATTAATAGCAATACTAATGACAGCTCAGCTATTAATAACAGTGATAATAATAGTTACCACTGGCTGAAACTTACTACATGATGAGCTCTGTACTGAAAGCCTTATGTGAATTTCTCACTTAAACTTCACAGGAAGACTTTAAGATAAATACTATTATCTTCCCCACTTTACAGAGCAAACTGGAACTGGGGGATATCAAGAACTTTGCCCTCCTCCACCAAGCTAGAAGTTTCAGAGCTGGTGGTAGAACCAGGTCTGGCTCCATGGGCAGGAAGGGATCTTAAACACAGTTTGATTGCACTGGGATAGATCTCTGTTTTATCTGCATCTACCCAGTGACGGATTAACCAGTAAGCAAGGTACCCACAGGTTTACCCGTGCGTACCTTGCAGATTGGGTAATTTGTCCTTGCGTCTACCCCTTGATTTATGCCAGGACTCCAGGGCACACCCACCATCGCCACCACCAAAACTGTACTGATGTTTGCCAGCCCAGATCTACTTTCTCAAGAATGCTCAGGTCATAACAGCTCCCAGTGAACTCCTGCTCCTTTCAAACAGGGATTGGCAAACTATGGCCCACGAACCAAATCCTACCTACTGCCAGTACAACCCACGAGCTAAAAATGGCTTTAACATTTTCAAATGGTTGGGGGAAAATTAAAAGAGGAATGATATTCCATGACATGTGAAACTACGTATCTGAATTTCAGTGTCCATCAATCAAGTTTTACTGGAACACAGCTATGCCCATTTGATTAACTGTTATCTCTGGTTGCTTTCATACCATGCTGACAGACTTGAATAGTTGTGACAAAGACCAGATTAGCTCACAAAGCCTAAAATATTTATTACCTGTCCCTTTACAGGAAAGTTTTGCTGACCCTTGCTCTAAAACCCCTGGGTGCTGTATGCACAAGTTGTTTGGAGTTAAGCTGGGGCTGCTTTGGAACACATCATAGTACTAGTATGCCCTCGCCCTTTAAACCCAACCACCCCACATGTTTTAATAATAAATGTTCATACTGCCCTAATCTTACCATGCTAACCCAGCTCTTTTTGATTTTGCATATTTCCTTCCAGATGCGCAGTTATATGCATGCATTTGCAGCCACAATGCATAATTTGCATTATTTAAGTATTATGCAATCATTCCAGATTTCATGAATTTACTCTCCTTAAAAACGAAGCTCATGAATCATAATCGTTTGTGCAACACGCAGAACCCAGCACAATACAGTGAACAGACAGTAGGTGTTCCAAAAGTGTTTCTGTCCATTCACGTATGTTTGTGTCTGTGGCATCTTTATACATCGATGAAGATGCAGGTTTATCGATCAGAGATCGCAAATGCGTGGTTGTGGGTAGCAGGTAGCCTGCAGACATGTCTTTTTGGCCCACAGAGTGTTGCTGTTTTGCTTGCTGTTGTTCACATATAAGATGATAACTTCTGATGTAAGTGATACGTATTCACATGTCAATAATCCACATAGCAGCATCTATAGATGTTTATATACATCCAAACCAATTTTAAGCGAGATACACGCTCGAATCACAACGTAGATAAACGATCAGGGATGTATGGTTACGGTTGGGGTGGATTAGCCAGTAAGCAAGGTACGCACGGTCTTACTTGTGTTTACTTACTAATCTGTAGTGCACAATCTACAGGTTAGTAAGTAAACACAAGTAAGCCTGTATATATCTTGCTTACTGGGTAATCTGTCCCTGGTACGGTATTAGCAATTGGCCACTTCAGGCATTCCAAGGATGGCATTTATTCCAAATAGAGTAAAGAAACCATCTGCTCAAATAGGTGCTGACTACCTTTTTCAGCACAGACGCCCCGATTGCATCCTGCAGTGGTCTGTCTGTACTGGGTCATAAGGAAGGCATTCACACGTACCATTGAATTCTTCATGCTCTGCAGCAAGCGATCATGCTGCTCGGCTATGGCCAGGGCAGCAGAGTGGACTTTCTGATAGATGGCCTCCCCGTCTCGTGTTTGAAAGATAAACAGCCCTTCACCAGTCTCACACATCCTGTGAAAACAAAAACAAAAAAACTTCTGAAAATCCAGGTCCCAGACAGCCAATGCGCTGAGAGCCTAGATCATTCTCCATGAGGCTGTGGCCATCATTTTTTTTGTTTGTTAATGAGATTAGGTTTCTTGTTCACATTTGCTAAAGAACGTTAACTTGTTCAAAGTGTCCAACTAATTGTTATGAATATGAGCAGGGATGCAATCACTCTAAGCTAACATAGCACTGAATGCTTTCTTTGAATCACAAAGCAAAGTAGAAGTTTAATTTTTTAAGAAAGCCAGGTTTCTTCGGAGGACAATTCTGTGTCCCTCTTAGATTGTACTCTAACTTTCCTTACTGACAATGGCTTTAATGATTCTTTCATTTCGAAAATCCTCGGCCAAATTTTACTCAGTCTAATGGATCAAATGCAGTTAAGATTTTTTTTTTTTTTTTTTTAGTGCACATGACTGTGGTGAATTAATGCATGTAGACTAAGAGACGTTCTTCAAGGAAAGCTGTATGTGTTTGATAATTAACGTCAAGTGTGAAGAGTAAGATCTAGAACCATAAAAAATAGGCCTGAGTTACACTAATAAGGGGAGACTGGCACCCACTATTAGATAAGAATCAAATGAATGCTTTTTGATTACTAAATATATTCTAGACTTTTCAAGAACTTGGACAAAATCATGTGCAGGGGTATTAGAGAAAGTTCTCATTTTGACACATCTGTACGTCAACAGTAAAGTTAAGAGGTGGGTTTTCTTTGCTTGTTAGTTGGTTGGCTTTGTTTGGTTGTTTAAAGAATCAAATTATTCTAAGACACAATTCCACTCCTTTCACTTCAGAATCTCTTGCTGAAAATGTGAATTCTGGCTCTGGGCTTGAGTTTTGCACACATCTAACGAACTGTTTAACACAACATGGAAACCAAGCAAATTTCTCATCCCAAACCACTGTTAATTACTTTAGCTCCCCTGGTCCATGCAATGAATGCAATAATAACATGAGAGATTTATCCTAATCTCCTTTTTTGCAGTTGGCCCACGCCATGGCCATATGGAAGTTTTCTGCATATACAGCCAGGCCTACATGATTGGGAAAAACTTGTCTAGTTTGAATTTCACACGTGTGAGTTGGGTAAGAAGAAGACACACACACAAAGAAAATGATGGCTTTTTCAATAGGCTAATCTAAAGAACTAGCTCATGAGGTCAATCACATGATTTTAATTATTAAGTCATTCTAATCCAGGGTTTCAAACCAGTTCATTCCAGTTCAACTCCCTGCTGAGAATCTGTATTTCCACCCCAGATATACTGAATCAGAATTTACATATTAACAAGATCCCCAGGAGATTCCTATGTATATATAAGAGTTCATGTAGATGTATACATAAGAATCACCTGCAGATCTTGTTAAAATGTATATGCATACATAAGAATCACCTGGGGATCTTGTTAACATGTACATTCTGATTCAGTATGTCTGGGGAAAGAAAGGCATATGCTTAGCAAGGGGACAAATGGGTTCATTCAAAGCCCTGTTCTAATCAAATGAAGAACTAAAACTTGAAATTCGAAGTATTTCCACTCAAGTCCCGTTTCCTTCCTGAAGATTTCCTGAAATGTTTCAGTCCTCACTGGAATCTCCTCCTTATGTCAATTACCAACCCAACTTAAGTAGACTACTTGGTGCCTAATTCTACAAGGTCTTATGCTTTTCCCACATCTTTTCATCCATCAGATGGATTTTTTTTTTATGAGGACTAAGTAGCTTTCTGTTTCCCCTAGGGCTGAGGTCATTATTTATTTATTTATTTATATGCCAACTTTGATTCCAGAAAAGATGAAGATACCTGTTACTCACTTATAGGATGATTGATTAATATTAACCCCGAAGCCGTGTTTCTCAAACTTGACAATCTAGTGGCTTTTAAAGCTTTTGTAACTGAACCCACAGTCAATAATAGTTTATATTATGACTGACCCAGCATATCTGCCTGTCTACTGTATTTTATACAAATAATGCACACCTTCTATGTTTGTTTGCCAACTGCTCTATGCTAATTTTTTTACAGAAACAGGTTAAAAAAAATTGGCATAGCAGTGCTTATGAAAATACCTTGAGGGAACAGCCGGCAAACAAACATAGAAGGTGTGTGTTATTCACATAAAAATACCGTATGTCTATTAGTCTATCATTTATAACTTGCAACATTTTCTATTCTATTTTATTTTTTAATACTGGTGGTGAAATGTTCAATCTATACGAAAAAATCTATTGCAGACGAGTCAGTTCTGACACATGGCAACCTACCTATATTATGACCCACTAATTGGCAAGATCTACTATTTGAAAAATAGTCTTTTAACTCATGTCTGCCTTTGACAGGAGGCCCGGTGGTGCAGTGGTTAAGTACTCCACTGCTAACCAAAATGTCAGCCATTTGAACCCACCAGCCACTCTAAGAGAGAAAGATGTGGTAGTCCGCTTCCATAAAGATTACAGCCTTGGAAAACCTATGGAGCAGTTCTACTCTGTCCTATAGGGTTGCTATGAGTCAAAATTGACGTGATGGCAATTTTTTTTTTTTTTTCTGCCTTTAACTGACAGAACCTTCCTTTAATGACATTTGAAATTTCTAAATAAATATTGTGATCAGAAACAATGAAATGAAAACAATTATAATATGAAGTATTCTCTTTCAATGTACATGGTTTCCCCTTGTCTCCACTTGAGATATGAAACACACACACACACACACATCACACTTATCACTTAAGGTCACACTCTCAAATTCCATCAGGGTCAGGCAGGGAAAGTGAATCAATAAAGTTGCTCAGGACTGCTACAATACAAAGTAGAGGAGTGTGGCTAATGGCCGAGCACAGGTCCCATTTAAAGACAGCAGCCACCAGTCAGCTCCAGTTAGGTATCCACATGGGGGTAATATAAGTCCAATGTAGCCACAGCTTACGATTGTTTGGGAGAAGCCAGAAATCTTGATTTTTATGTGAAATCACCTGAATTTTAAATGTTGGCAACTTAAACTCCATTTTTTTTTAAGGTTGTGGGGTGCCAAAATGCCTCTATTAACCAGATCTGGCCATGATGTGACAAGTTTGCAATATCTGACAAAATGCCTTAAAGACTATAAATAGACAGAAATCAGGTCTTTGAGTTGAGTTGTTTGAAACTGGTTGTCCATACTGCTTGAAGGCACATGTCCTTCAGTCAGACAGCGTGACCCAGGAACTTGTTCAGAACAACAACTGACCTTCACATACTCTTCTAAAAAGTCTCTTCTAAACTCTATCCATGTGTTCTTTTAATTTCATTCACTCCTTCTCAATAGATTTGTTTAGTACTGTTTCATAAGCAGCTTTACGATCCATTAAAAAATGCTACTACCAGCTTCATCAAAATAATATAATGGGCTTAGTCCCCAAGGCAAATAAGAAGGAAATGGAGAAAAAAAAAGAAAAAAAGGCAATAAAGAGGAGAGAACAAACAAACTAATGGTCTTACATAACCTAATAGACCAACGTCTGCTTCTCATCTCCGGAGAAAACACAACACAGACCAAAGATGTTCTAATGTGTTCACCCATACCAGAAGGGCACACCCACATGTTTTGAATTCATATGCTCCCAATTCTTTTCTTTCTCGTTCCCTATTGATTTTTACCCTGCACACTTTTTGAGCATCCAAATCAGACCCAAATGTCCACAAATACTCCTTTCTTATGGTCTTATACACTAACAGCAACCAATGGATGGAAACTCAGAGAAAGTAAAACAAGGACTTTAAGTTTAGTCTTTCCTATGTCCTCTGTGAGGTGTCGCTGAGTAGTGCAAACGGTTAACACACTTGCTAATAACCAAAAAGATGGAGGTTTGAGTCCACCCAGAACGTCTCAGAAGAAAGCCTTGAAAATCTGCTTCCAAAAAATCAGTCACTGAAAACTCTGTGGAGTACAGTGCTACTCTGACACACATGGGGTTGCCATGAGTTGGAATCGACTCAGTAACAACTGGATTGGATTATTTGGTTATGTCCTCTGCGAAGATAAGCATTCAGATGCAAGAAAACCCAAACCATGGCCATTATAGATGCACTTGATAGTGTTGAACGTTCCAATAATTCCTTTACCTAAATTATATACCCGTCATCCCAGACCATGGATCATCCAATTGGTCAAATATCTAGAGGCAACAAAGAGCTCAGAAAATATTGGGAAATTCATTCCTCCACACAACAAATATGTGTCGAGGCAGTGTGGACAAAAGACAAGAGTTTGGGCTCAGGACTCATTACTGGCTGAGATTGACCCTTACGGGTTTTACAACCTTGTACAAGTTATTTAGCTTCTCAAGGCTTGTTTTTCCATTTGTAAAACAAATTTCATGAAAGCAAATATCACAGAGATTTAGTGCAAGTATTGAATAAAATATGTACAATACACAAAGCAAGTCTTCAAATAACCGGTGCTTCCATTATTCCACTGGATATAAGCTCTTTGCAGGCCGGGATTTTTTTTTTTTTTTCTTCTAATTTATTCAGTTTTTCCACCAGTGCCTAGAACATGGCTTGGCCTATACTTAGTGCTCAATAAATAGCTGTAGAATGAATTGTGGAATAGTAGGCAGAGCTAGGAAAAGGTATAGTGCGCAACCTGACCCAGGCTTCCTTGAGTAAGTCTTATTTCAAGTGAGAACTCATGAGCCACCTTGGGAAGGAGAGTGTTTTGGATGAGAAATCAGGAAAAAGAGTCCAGACAGAAAGAACTGCATATATAAAGCCTTGAGGTGGATGAAGTAGAGTGAACTCAGCACCCTGGGGTGGGGAGGAGAGGAGGCGCAGCCCGTGTGGCTAGAAGGCAGTGAACCTAGCATTAATGTTCTTTGAGACCACAAATAGTCCCCACCTAAAAAACCAAGAAGACAAACCTACTGCCATCGAGTCAATCCTCACTCACAGCGACCCTACAGGACAGATTAGAACTGCCCGGT